GGATGATCCCGTCACGTGTGTTCAATCCATTCTGGACGCCAAAGTGAAAGCCAGACAATTGCTGTAATGACGGGTTGGGTTATTGATGGGCCCCAATTAGGCACTGGGGTGCAGATGAACTTTTAAGGGTGTCAATGACCATAAGCTTTATCAAAAAGAGATTATGCAACTGTATACGAAAAATACTCCACAAGTTCCGAGTAGAGTTCCGTAAAGAAGAGTGCGCTCTAAATGTCGTCAAAATTTCCTCAAACCTTGAACATTCCATTCAAATCTCATAAAATCCTGAATTTAGTGCGCTTTGTCAATGTTGATTTTAAAGTTAGCGATTTTACGCAACTGCCTACTTTGCAATAAAAATTCCAACTTCCCAAGGAAAGCCAGTAGAAACTTGAAAGGTTGACATTCTGTAGAAGACGTTTTTTTACCACCCTACGAGCCAGTTGATGAATATGGGACTAAAAGCTCTACATGTACAGGGCAACCAGGGCAAAGTAATGCTAAACTTACCGAAACCCGCATTGTCCCACCTGGAAAAAACTATTTTGCAACTTTATCCGAGTCTTAAGAATCATGCATTTCGATAGGGCTGCAACGTACTTCGGTCATTTATTTCAGCAGCAGACAGACACATTTCATCCAGCTCGATGGGGCAATAAAGGCAAAGAGTTGTAAAGGATAATGGTCCAGAGAGTTTTACTTCCAAACAATGTATTCTATTTGAGCAAGGGCTTCAAAGTTTTTGCAAACGTAAGTAAAATAAATGGATAGATAGAGCGAAATTGGATCCGAAATTCAATCATCCCTCTCCGGTAACCGAGGTTTAACTCATAATTGCCTTAAGAAGAAGAGTGAATGTGAAAGATGCGTCGTACAGAAACATGTGTTATGTCCACAGGAAGAACTGCAATTGACCTTTTGAGATTAGTTTACATAAATGAATGCTCCTTTGCTAAATATGCAACTCGCCACCCAGAAAATGACGGAACCCACATCAAATAAAGGTCCTATTGTCGATGACTTAAGCATGTTCCGCCTTGAGTAAACATTGAAAAACCGCTCTAAAGTATACAAAATTTGATGCTCTGTTTATTTAGATAAGTAATGCATTTAAGGAATGGATACAGACCGGGCTACTCATAAAGATAACTCGTGCTGGATCGCATCGAAACATCAAAAGTAGACGTATTGTTGAAACATAATTTCTATTTCGAGGTATGGTCGCAAATGCAAACCGTTGAGCAAATGAAAGCTTTTTCGAAAATAGATCAAACACGCCGTTCCGTTAACTGGAAAACGTATTTTACTGTTGTTTGCACAGTAAATATGGTTACAAGATCGACTGGCGAAACTTTCATGTACTCACTTGTGTTTGTTGCTTCGTTGCGAATTTTATCAAAAAATCAACTTCCACCGTTTCGTAAAAGCGCCCATTCAACTGTAGTCTACGTAAAGAAAATCCCCCTAATCCCGTTCGCGCCATAAGGAAGAAGATTAAAAGAAAAACTCCTTAGACTTGTCATCCCGGTTAAATAATATCTGTTCACTGGTTTGTATCACATCTAATTCTGTCGACCATGGTTAGAACGTTAATAAGAGAGACGATAAATTTCCGAGATCGCATTTCCAGGCGTCCTTTTTATATTTTTCGTTCTATATATCAGGCGCGTTAATCCCGTAATGGATGTTGTGAAAGGGCGACATAGGAAAACGACCAACAAACTGACAAGATACTTATGAATAACTGGGATCTAAAATAATCGAGCAACTAATGAGTTTTTACGCGCAGAGAACCTATTGAAATTTTTGGAAACATTTCAGGAGCAAATTCCAATTTAACTGGCCCCCGTTACATAAACCTTGACTTCGCTTAACAACATCTAATAGAAATGTCTTCTTTGAAGTCCCCAACATATCAAATGTTGTTTGGCACGCAAACACACGCCTCTTGGTAAAGTATTAATTAGTTTCAGTTTGCAAACACCCTAAACAAACCGAGTTATGGATATAATCGAAAACACCGCTGTTTGATGTTGGCACATAATAGAAACGGTAAATTTGCTGGATTAATTATTCTTCAAGCACGTGTGAGTGTGTAGTGCTATTTGGGCACGGCGTTTTTCAGCATAGAAAAGTAGTTTTCGAGTGCAACTCTTTGCGTCTTTGCGCTCTCAAAGACGACGTAGATGCGTCTATAGCCATAAATTCTGGAGAGTTTCTTAAAATCGACAAAAGCAAATTTCTTAAAAACAGCAATGTGCACGAGTCCACCACAGTATCTTGGTTCTGATTCATTGCTCAATGTTAATAATGATTCGTAATAAGCTCTCAAAGTCGCAATGTGTCAAGAAATTTCTATAATGGTGTTATTCAGCTCTCTAAACCAGATGGACTTAATGGCTAATATTGATTAGATTAGGCATGAAATTATTAAGGAAATTGGCGGCTATAACATTTTGATTGCTAACTACTCGCGACATTTATGCGGTGCACAACCTGTATTTAGTTGTTAGATGGGTTTCTCGCCGCACTGTCAAATGCTATAAATTCCCGCAATATACATTTTAATGATTATTCTGATATTTTAATGATGAATTTCACTTATATCGCGTAATATTCCGTTTTGGCGGACCTGGAAAATTTTAGTGCTGAAAATGAGCGTTCTGGTCAAAGGCGAGTTCTCTTGAAAATTGGCCTGGAAACGTCGACCGCGAAGCAAGTAAGAACTTGAAATTTATACAGTCCAGAGAAGACAGTTGAGTCTGTATGTGCTGAAAATATCACTCAAGTAGCGAAAATTTCTCATTTTTTCGAACTTGGCAAATTTTGTTTATTTGGGAACTGGAAAGGCCCCGGTGGTTTTTAACTAGCTCGTTGAAGAGAGAGAATTCCTCGTCTCTTTCCGATGAAAATGATGTAGCAGTCGAGGTATTTTGAGAAACTTGAGTGTTTTGGAAAAATCGACCTCTTACCCCTCGTCCCCCCTTATGAAATTTTCGACCAAAAATCAAAATTTCGCAATCGTGTTTTTGCCCTTATTGGAATGTTTCCGATCTAAGAAGCTGCCCAATAGCGAATATGAAAGTTGTGGGTCGATAATAAGTAAGATATCGTCCGTTGAAGATTGCGACCGCTCAAAAACCGTTCAAAATAGACAGAAAATTTTGATTATTTGGGAACTGGAAAGGCCCCGGCGTCTTTTAATTAGCTCGTTGCATTCCTTGGCTTTTTCCGATGAAAATGATGTATCAGTCGAGGTATTTTGAGAAACTTGAATTTTTTGGAAAAATCGACCTCTTACCCCTCGTCCGCCCTTATGAAATTTTCGACCAAAAATCAAAATTTCACAATCGTCTTTTTTGCCCTTATTGGATTCTTTCCGACCTAAGGAGCTGCCGAATAGCGAATATAAAAGTTGTGGGTCGATAATAAGAAAGATATCGTCCGTTGAAAATTGCGACCGCTCAAAAACCGTTCAAAATAGACAGAAAATGTTGATTATTTGCGAACTGGAAAGGCCCCGGTGTCTTTTAATTAGCTCGTTGCGTTCCTTGGCTCTTTCCGATGAAAATGATGTATCAGTCGAGGGATTTTGAGAAACTTGAATTTTTTGGAAAAGTCGACCTCTCATGAAGTTTTCGACCAAACATCAAAATTTCGCAATCGTGTTTTTTGCCCTTATTAGATTGTTTGCGACTTAAGAATCTGCCCAATAGCGAATATGAAGACAGTTGAGTCTGTTCGTACTGAAAACATCACTCAAATAGCTAAAATTTCTGATTTTTTCGGACTTGACAAACTCTGTGCTGAAAATGAGCGTTCTGGTCAAAGGCGAGTTCTCTTGAAAAATTCATAACTTCGACCGCGAAGCAAGTAGGAACTTGAAATTTATACAATCCAGAGAAGACAGTTGAGTCTGTACGTGCTGAAAATATCACTCAAATAGCTAAAATTTCTGATTTTTTCAAACTTGACAAACTTTGTGCTGAAAATGAGCGTTCTGGTCAAAGGCGAGTTCTCTTGAAAAATTCATAACTTCGACCGCGAAGCAAGTAGGAACTTGAAATTTATACAGTCCAGAGAAGACAGTTGAGTCTGTACGTGCTGAAAATATCACTCAAGTAGCGAAAATTTCTGATTTCTTCCAACTAGGCAAATTTTGTGCTGAAAATAAGGAGCGTTCTGGTCAAGGGCGAGTTCTCTTGAAAGATTCATAACTTCGAATGCGAAGCAAGTAAGAACTTGAAATTTATACAGTCCAGAGAAGACAGTTGAGTCTGTACGTGCTGAAAATATCACTAAAGTAGCGAAAATTTCTGATTTCTTCCAACTTGACAAACTTTGTGCTGAAAATGAGCGTTCTGGTCAAAGGCGAGTTCTCTTGAAAAATTCATAACTTCGACCGCGAAGCAAGTAAGAACTTAAAATTTATACAGTCCAGAGAAGACAGTTGAGTACGTGCTGAAAATATCACTCAAGTAGCGAAAATTTCTGATTTCTTCCAACTTGGCAAATTTTGTGCTGAAAATAAGGAGCGTTCTGGTCAAAGGCGAGTTCTTTTGGAAGATTCATAACTTCGAATGCGAACCAAGTAAGAACTTGCAATTTGTACAGTCCAGAGAAGACAGTTGAGTCTGTACGTGCTGAAAACATCACTCAAATAGCGAAAATTTCTGATTTTTTCGAACTTGACAAACTTTGAGCGTTCTGGTCAAAGGCGAGTTCTCTTGAAAAATTCATAAATTCGACCGCGAAGCAAGTGGCTTCTTGAAAATTTTAGAATCCACAGAAAATAAGTTTTAATTTCAAACACAAAACTTGGAACATTCATAGACGAATTTTCATGCTGCTTTTTTACGGTTTTGAACTAAGTAATTGAAATGTTCAAGATGTTGCAATCAAAGTCCTAATAAACGTACTGGATATGATTTTTCCTTTATATTTAGCTATTGTGATAAAAAATGTGCTGGCAACTTGAATCATAAGCAATTTTGTTGCAGGATCCCTCCGCTCGCCAAGAATAACCGAACATCCCTCGGACATAATAGTGGCAAAAAACGAGCCGGTGACACTAAACTGCAAAGCCGAAGGTAAACCAGATCCCACCATCGAATGGTACAAAGATGGCGAATTGGTGAAAACGTCGCCCACCGACAACAAGTCGCATCGCGTCCTGCTGCCAGCAGGCTCGCTCTTCTTCTTGAGGACGATGAACAGCAAAAAGGAGCAAGACGCGGGTGTTTATTGGTGCGTGGCCCAAAATATGGCCGGAACCGCCACCAGCAGGAATGCCACGTTACAAGTAGCTGGTAAGTAAAAAAGTGAAACACTTGTTTTTCCATAGGAAACGTCAGTCAAGCCAGCCAAAATCCAATCTCGAGAAGTGATTGATGACGAAAAACACATGCTGGTGAAAAACTTCCTGTGGCGATCCTTCGGGATGTGTAGGGATTTTTTGTTGGGTTGCATTATTAGTCGGACGATAAATAAATGGACCCGTCACACACTGACAATACAAAAGACGATAAATTGCGATAGTGGGAGAAATTATTCGCGGTTAAACAATAGAGGACAAAAAGCGGGAAAGTGGGAGCTCGACTTTTGAATCTGGCCATAGATTTATCATCCTAAACGTCCCGGAATGGCCGATAAACAAGGATTACGAGCAAAATTCCCGATCGGGTCTTTGACAGATGGTGATGAATGTACGGTATTTAATCGATTATTCGATTTTGAGCCTTTGAGCACCACGCCATGTCTTCAATGGCCCGAGTCGATTCAACCGGTCACACCAGCGCCTTTTATAAACTGACTTTCCCAGCAGCGCACTTTCTGGAAAATGCATTGAAATGTTTGAGGCAAAATTAACATTCGTTTCTTACAGCTAAAACATATTTTTTACAAACTTCTTTTTGGGTATTTCGCCTCAAAAATTTTTGTCTTTAAAACAACGGCTATGGGGCAATGGCTATGGGGTCACCACTATCCCCATTTTTTAGTAATTTATTTATGGAAAATTTTGAATCAACTTTCATTAATAATTACAAATTTAAACC